GTGTAAGGGGTACGATTTAAAGAGGGGAGCACTCAGCTTGAGAAAGACCGTTAACTTGAAGTTGTGAGTGGTGGATGGTGTACTGGATGAGGAGCCTGAAGACCTTTATTTCCCACCCGTCACTTAGGATGGTCAAGCCACTCAACATGTCTGCCTCTTGCCTCATCAAGAAAATGAGAAATGTAATTGCTTGCCTGCTTATCTCAACTGGTGCTTGTGACAGTCACGTGAGATATGCATGTAAAAGTTCTTTGCAGATTAGAAAGTGATCCAGATGGAATAAGTTTGTTATTTAGGTAAAGGTTAAAAGGGGGAAAAAAAAAAGAATCATACCTCTTTGATTCTGAGGCTATTTTTCTCTACCTCTCTCATTCAGGGTTTCATGAGAATTAATGTAACATGTCCTTGTGTGTCTTGAACTGACTGATTTCTATTCCATTAGCCATTAGAGTAGTACAAGCTATTTTTCATCATTGGGATAATTGAAAAAATATCTAAATCATTGTCTGTGACAGACCCCATTTGAGAAAGTCTACCCTAGATCCTAACATCCTAGATTCTTGTTTATTTTCTTGTCAGAAACTAAAAAATGTGTAGAATGTAATTATGTGTTAATGTGGGATTCGGAATTGATATTTAAGTAGAGTCAGGGACCCTTGGATCTTTTCTCCCCTCCCGTGCGCCCAGAGCGTCGGCCTTGTCGTTACCAGTGTGCAGCTCCTTCACACCCTAACCTGTGTTTATAACTTAATCCACATAGTAGCTCCAACTGTAGTAATTCCTCAGTTTCAGTGGGACCTAAATATGTGGATCCCACTGTGTTTTCACTGCCCTTCGTTTGTACCTCCAGTGCACTCAGTTCCTCTCAGTGGCCTGGACCCCACAGCCCATCACTGTTGTCACTCATTTACACAGGCCCCAGACCCTCTGCCCTTTTTATCCTTATACTCTATCAGTAAACTCCAACCCTGTTCCTTCAGTTGTCTGTAAGAGAAAACAGACCACGCCAGCTGGTCTCACTTTAAATTCATGACCACTCATTGCTGCTCAAGGACGTGTCCTTACTGCATTCCTTTTCCCTTGCTCTTAGACAAGCCTCTGAAGCCTCATTCCCCACCAGTTGGGATGATGACCTTGCTGCTGCTGCCCTTTTTTTTTTGACCAAGAAGATAGGATCAAACAAAACGATGATTGACTCATATATATGTTTTGTTATATTTAATCTCATCCCTACCTACAGAATATATCAAAATAGCAGTGGTTTGATCTTTTAAAACAACCTGTGATTTTGAAACTCATAGTTTTCTTTTACAAATCTAAGTAGACTACGTGCATTGTTTTCCTTTAGTATCCGTGAGATTCATGGAGGATGTGACATTTGAACTAGACTTTGAAGGAATATTAGGGTTCTCATAGAGGAGGACCGGGAATATTTCCAGATAGAAGAGATGAGCAAAACATGTAAGCAACAAAGAGTAGGGTGTTTGGAAATTAGTGGTTAGCTATTGAAGGAGCAAAATAAGACTGTCACAGCTAATCTGTACCAGAATCTAGAGGGCCTGAATTCTGACCTGTGGGATCTGCACTCAGGGAATGAACACCTAATTTAATTCATTAAGGTAGTTGAGCCATGATCTTCACACTGCGTTGTTCGTGGGTGAAGTAGGAGAAGGTCCTGGAGGGAGTGTGGTCTCCCCGCAAAGGACAGTGGTCAGTACTGGCTAACCCAGGGTGCCGGGAAGCTCCCACTGGGTCTGCTGCCTTAGTGACCGGTGCTAGACGTGTGTGTGAACATGGCTAGTCAACCACCTTACAAGTAGTTACTTAGTTTGGTTGAGTTAACTTCAGTGAATGGACTGCAGTTACTTCTGGGGGTGAGGCACTGTATTTGGTGGGGAACGCAGAGGTGAAGGTGTGAAGATGTGGTCCCCTCTATAAAGAGCATACAGTTTATGGGAGAGACCCAATATGGCAAACCATATTCTCAGACAAGGGGAAATAAGGTTTACCGCCTAGACCCCAGTGCCGTGGGTTCAGTGGCTTAACCCTGCTTGGGGCAGACAGGGAAGTCTTTGTAGTATCATTTGGTCCAGATCTTGGGAGATTAGCAGGAATGGGTATAGAACATCCTATACATTTTACTCACTAGTTGATAATATTTTATGTGTTAATTTGTAGTATTTATGGTACTCATTATAATGGAGCATACTAACTTTTTAAAGTACATGTCCTACTTCACTTCAGTCTCACTGCACCACGGGGTTCTACTGTAAGGTTGCTATGTCTCACCAAGGTATGCGTAGAAGCAGGACAGAGACCTACAGCTGCAGGGGTGCGGGGTGGTTAGACACGGAGGGAGTCTCAGAAGCTGACTGTTACACAGATGAACTTTGAAATGAGCATTGCTTATCAGAGCTCTGAATTTCATCCTTGTATTAAGAACAGTAGCAATAATCAATTAGTAACCTTACATTTGAGAATGAAAGTCATGACTCTATTCAGCGATTATGAGAAATTATTGGGGGAAAAGGAGACCTGGGTGATACTTTTGATACTGCACTTAAATGCATCCCTTTGAATTGGGATCAAGACCTCATTATGGGAGTCTCCCTGAAAATAAAGGGATTCTTTAGTGTTGGCCGCTTTTGGTCTTCCTGGCCACCTATGAAGACAGGCTTTCCCTAAGGACAATTTCTTTTTTTTTTTTAAAAGATTTTATTTATTTATTTGAGAGAGAGAGACTGAGAGAGAGAGAGCATGAGAAGGGGGAGGGTCGGGAGGGTCAGAGGGAGAAGCAGACTCCCTGCCGAGCAGGGAGCCCGATGCGGGACTCGATCCCGGGACTCCAGGATCATGACCTGAGCCGAAGACAGTTGCTTAACCAACTGAGCCACCCAGGCGCCCCCTAAGGACAATTTCTCTTCTGAATCATCCCCTGAGGACCTTGGCTCTGCAGCCCAGCCTGATGCCACTTCCTTTGACCAAGTCCAGTTTTCTGGTCTGAAATCAACCCTGTCTCCATCCACAGGCCCATTGTTTCCTATTCATCTTAGTCTTCAACTTCATGCCTGGTGAGTTTCCCTGTTATAATGACCTCTTACTTCTTTTTTTTTTTTTTTTTATTCTTTGTTAATCCCCATACATTACATCATTAGTTTTAGATGAAGTGTTACATGATTCATTGTTTGTGCATAACACCCAGTGCTCCATGCAGAATGTGCCCTCCTCAATACCCACCACCAGGCTAACCCATCCTCCCACCCCGACCTCTTACTTCTTTTTATCCAAATTTTCCAGTCAACTGATCTCTTCCCAGCCATTTGCAAAGCACATTTTTATTACTTCTGCCTTTCCTGGTCTACAGTTTATGCCTCATTCTCTATAGGATAGCTCATAGCAAAACAGTTACACTCACCGTCAGCCCTCCCACTTCCTGACCTAATTTCTGGCAGAATCTAGAACAATGCACAGTGTGTAAGTGCTCAAACATTTGTTGAATGGGTGATTGGATTAATAAATTACAGATTACATCCTGTTATTGATGCTTGTCGCTACTAATGCTGATTATTTCTAGGTGTTATTTTGCCGCAGTGGTTTCTTTAAATGGACACAGTCACAGAGAACATGGCTGTTCTCTCCTAGTGGTGTCTCCCGTCACAGCACACTATTACCATTACAGAGTAATAGAAAAATAACAGATGTGAACAGGAATCTTTAAAGCAAAGGAAAACATATGTTACTGATTTTTAAAAGTATCCACTAATGTGAATTTTTCATCTTACAGCTATAAATGTTTCTGTTGTAACATTTCTCTTAGTTGCGAAAAAGCACTTGTGCCTTCATAAGGAAGTTCTAATTAAAATGAGAACGAACTTTGTTCTGGAAAGTTTAAAGTAATCGGAAAGCCTCGTTGCATTTTATTAAAGACTCAATTATTTTATTGATATGCCATAGAAACTAAGAAATAAGAAACCAGAGTATTAGTATATGGACTCAGATTTCTTTCCGAAGCAGTTTTAAATTTAACTCTGTAAATAGAGTAAAGTAGTGTACATCCCTACTTTACACCCAGGGCCTAAGGAAGTAAGACTCTTCTCCTGTTAAAAATATGAAAGTTTCAAAATTATTTTTAACCATAATACATTTAAATCTTAATTAACTGGAACCCAAGAAACTGTTTCCTTTAGTACCAGATAGAGCACTCACATCTTCCCTTTCAGAAAGAGGCAAATGAAAGCAAAAACATGTTACTATCAGGGATTTGGTCAACAGAGAAATTTTAAGAAAATTTCTAGTGAAATCGGTACAAATATCCTTCTTCCCTACAAGCAGAATCTGTCACCCTGCCCAGATGTATGGCTCACAGGCATTTGCCAGTTTTTGTCATTTAAAGTTGAGAGTGACAGAGGAGACAAAGTGATGCCATTAACGTAAGAATCATTCATTCTGAATTGAAAAGAAATCTAAACAAAGGTTATTTATTGGGTAAATCTTAAATTAGAAAATTAAAATCATTATATTACTGCTTTCTCTGAATATTTTTACTAATCAAATTTTAATGTAGCTTTTATCAGATATTACCTCCAAATATTGTGCTTTTATGATCTATTTTAATGTTAAACAAATCAAATATACTTAAAAAGTTTTAACAGTAGGAACAGTTTCCTTAAAAAATTGAAAATTATTTTATCATCATACCTGTTGAGTTTGCTTTAGTTTTCAGGGGTTGATGAATTTGCAAATCCTGTAAATTGAATCAGAAATTCCTAAATTCTTTAACTGAGTCTCTTAAAAATCCACAGTAACTGTGTGTCCAGACAAGGCTGTCCTTGAATTACTGTAGCAATTTAAGCAAATATAATCTGCTTGGAAAACACTTGGGTTGAATTAAAATTATGTATTCCTTTTCATTATCCAAAACTTTGTGGATTCAAATTGAGATGCTTGTGCTGTTGGTCACATTTATGTGGCTTACTTCCCTTTCTTTTCCCCTTAATTTTGGTTTGAGGTGTGGCAAGAATTTCCTCTAATATGAAAGGCAAACAGAACTAAATGAAACAGCATGTACTGATTACTGTTTTTATTTTCATTTTCATGCCAAGGAATTCTCCAAATTAAGGTCGCCTGTAACTTGGAGCTCAGTGTCTCAGCATTTTAAGGTGGAATTCAAGAGTGGTCTTGAAATGTCCTTTGTCTGAAACCTCACATTCACACCAGGGCTTTCCTTTATCGAAGACAAGCAACCCAGATTAGAAATATAGCTTGCACATCTAGTTTACCTTTTTTTTCTTTTTTAAGATTTTATTTATTTGAAAGAGAGAGAGAGAGCACGAGCAGGGGGAGGAGCAGAGGGAGAGGGAGAAGTAGGCTCCCCTCTGAGCAAGGAAGCAAGGAGCCCTACTACACAGGGCTGGATCCCAGGACCCCGAGATCATGACCTGAGCCGAAGGTGGTTCCTTACCGACTGAGCCACCCAGGCGCCCCTCTAGTTTACTTTTTAAACGAAGGGACTTGTCATTATTGACACAGATTAAATATATAACTTTTCCACACAAAGAATTATACCTTCTTTTCTGTTCGCTTTCACTGTTCTCCCCTTCCTCCCAAATATATGCACTAGAATGCCTGCTAAAAACCTTTTTTTTTTTTTTCAAAGATTTTATTTTTATTTATTTGACAGAGAGAGACACAGCGAGAGAGGGAACACAAGCAGGGGAAGCGGGAGAGGGAGAAGCAGGCTTCCCGCCGAGCAGGGAGCCCGATGCGGGGCTCGATCCCAGGACCCTGGGATCGTGACCTGAGCCGAAGGCAGACGCTTAACGACTGAGCCACCCAGGTGCCCCCTGCTGTAAACCTTTGAAACAAAAATTAATCTGGTGATAGAATTTAGTGTCTTGCACTCGGAAGGTAGATCTCTGATTTGCCTCTTTAGGTTAGTACAAAAATAATTTTATAGTATTGACTAAAATGGCATTAGGAACTTCTGTTTCCTTTATTTTGTAGATGTAGAAAATCTCTTCACTGAGTTATTTCTCCTGAGGAATAGTGGTTAACTGCTTAAATGCTACATTTTTTTCCTAGCATGTTTTTTTATTTTAAACAGAGTTAATTTGTATTTCTTGGCAGTGAACTTTTAGTTCATGCTTTGGAAGACTCTTTTAAAGTTTGTACAAACTAATAAGGTAAAGTGAATCCCAGAATTTGTTTTTGTGTCCTAGGATAGTGTTTACCATTAGATTTTTACAAGGAAATCACAGGGTTTATTTTGTTATACTTCAGGTTTTTTAAAAGCGTGCTGTGTTTCAAGTGATGGTTGGCAGTACTATAAAAATCTCGTCTATTATTTGAGACACTGGTATGTGAAACATGGCAGACTGTATTTGGGCCAAGATTTCATCTTGTTGCTGATCTTTTCCATATGTTTCCTATTAGTCTTTGTTCTTGAACCTCAGGCTTCCATACTAAAGAAGAGAGAGCAAATCTATGTAATTTTCCCAAGAATTTAGTTTTATGTGCCCTCAGAGTTCTTACGGAAGATAAACTTGAAATCAAAAGCTTAATTTTTATATAATTCCTCATTTAATACTGTGATTTGAACTTGTGATCGTGATTATGTTGTTCATGTTCCTAACACATGTGGAAAGAATATTTATCAATATAGCTAGAGCACCTAGAATCACTCGTGTCTAGGAAATTTGAAAGAGGTGGACTGTGTCCAGGAGGTTTAGGTTGGGAGGCGGGGTAGTAAGAGGAGTGTTGGTTCACGTCAGACCGTATAGGAAAAGTAGAAGCTGTAAGTGACTGTGATAGTTCAGTGTTTCAGTTCGGTGGGTATAATTGCAGCAGTCGAAGAGAGAAGTCCATTGAATTGATGGAAAGTCTAAATTATATTCTATGGTGATAATTTGATTGAAGTAGATACAGTACCTTCATAGCTGAATAGTGCCGGTGGAGAAAGGCCAGACTGAGATCTGCCTAATTGTGGTAATCAGGGATTTTTTTCTTTATACTCATTCAGCTAATATTTTTTAGCACCTGATTTGTTCAAGGCAGTTGTAAGTGCTGGGGACTCAGCAACACAAGTTTCTATTGTCATGGAACAGGAAAACAGAAAATAAACATATGAAGTGGTTCAGAATCCAGTGGAGGAGAATGAAGCAAGGAAGAGGGGGTCAAAATGAGTGAGCACGGACACAGGTCAGCAGTTCTGACCTCCTGCGCGCCTGCGCTCCAACAGAGCGGTCACACGGCTGGGTGGCGGGTGGCGGAGCCAGGTGTCTCGCTGCTGGAGGGAGGTTACAGATAAGCAAGGGGAGGCAGCCGGAACGACGCCCGCGGTGATGGGCCAGAGCTGGAGACGTCAGCATGAACCCATGTTCAGCTTGACATATGCACAGGTGGCTCCATCGAGAAATGTCTGTAGACGTGTGTGTGCATGGGCCGCTGTACCCACACCTGTCCCCTGGCCCAGTCGGCTGGGAGGGCGTCGAGGCCGTGACGCTCCGGCAGCAGCAAGCACCCAGCACCCAGCACCCAGACCTTGGCTGCTGCTGCTGCTCTTTAAAGATCTTATGTATTTATTT